TTCTATGTAGCTCTTTATGCTGCACATATGCTGAATCCTGTGATTGTATTACATACTGTTATTGACAGAGTTATCTACCAGACAAAATGACCCCAACTGTTCTACATTCTAAAATGGCTCCCCTTCCTAAAATGGTTCCCGCTTACAGAAATGAGCCACTTCAGAAAAGTGAAACCTACCCCCTCTGGAGAAGCAAAACCTAACTTGTTGCTCCACCCTGCTACCCATGTGATCCTCCCCTTCCAATCAGCTGGCCTCCCCTTGCTCAACTCTCAGGATACTCTCCCCACTGCACCATCCTATATAAACCTCACCCCAGTTAGTCTCGCCCTCTCCTGCCATAGTTCAAAGCAGTCCGGCAGCTCCTTCCCCAATAAAGCCTTGCCTCAGGTGCTCCTGTTTCAGCTCATTTTCTTTCATTCATAATACATTACCTAGATTATTTAATGTGTACATTATATGTATTACATTATTGTATCATACACTTTGCCAAGCTAGTGAGGGAGTTGAGTGGAACTACTTGGTTGTATAAACAAGAAGAAACTTTGGGGAAAACCAAGCCATTTTTTTTCCCTCAAAGCATTTATCCACCAATGCTATACTTAGGATAATTTATTCCTTTGTGATACTGGTGACCACTTTCATGTTAGGCTACATCCTTTCGCAGTATGAAAAATCGTTTTAATCACAGGTTATATGCTAATTTTAGAAAATACAGAACTTGGGTTGAGAGAGATAATTTTCAAATGTACAGTTTATTCAGACCCTAAATTCTGTGGTCCTTTTTTTAACCATACCTTTCAAATGTTGATCTTCTAGTAATAAGAAGTGGGCACAATTGCCCTGCAACACACTCTAGAAACAGACAAAATGAGGGGTAACTGGAAAAGATGAATGACAACTCTGAATAAAGATGAGATTTCATTTTGGTGAAGTTTGGTGATGTTTGTAGGTTCTAGGTCAGTATAAGACAAAATGGTACTGTGTAATATTGTCTCAGGAATCTGCTCTTGCTACCTCATGCATATGGCATTGAAAGTGTGTTGAAGGAATCCTTGAGATTTAAGGATGTGCACACACTTTCATGTTCATCCATAAAAATAAGCAGAAAACTTACTGTTGTTAACTAACTTTTCTTCTATCACAGCAATTCTATTGAATAAAGACTATGTATTGTAGCTAATTCATGATGCTGGATACAAAAATGAAGTAAGTTTTATTTTTGGTTTTAGGCTTAAAGGATGAACAGGCAAAGCTCCTGGACCCCAAACATGGCCCCTGAGAGAATTCCTCAGCTCAGTCTTAAAGCTTGAGTCTTCTTCAAAGTAACCAAATCTTCAGAAAACTTCCATCTGAAGAATAGTGGATTGAAATTGGATTATGAAATAAAAAGTTTTAAATGTTCTATTTTAAGGATGACAGAAAGACAGAATAATTTTTTGACAGAATAATTTTTAATGTTAGTAAACAGCAATATGTTTTGATCCAAGAGTTTCCATGAATTACAATCTGCATCCACACATTTATGAAGCAATGTGGTTAAACTAGAAAAGACACATATTGCACAAATATATGCAATGATGCCTTTGAGGAGTGGTGTTTCTCCCAGTAGGCTTCATCTAATTGGGGCCTCCTCTTATAGTCTCGGGAAGGCTGTTGACATTCCCCCATAAAATACAAACTCACATTCACACACAGATTTTCACATTGTCACAATCTCCTTATTTTGTCCATGGATCACAGGCTATGAAGCCTTGGTGCACAAATACATGTACATTTGTATTAGTGGTTCTCAAGTCCATCCCAGTACACCTGAACATTATGATAATTTTTGTGGAACATAACCTATATTTATTCCATCACACTTTGGAAAAACATGTATACATGAGTATTAAATGTACATACATGTATTTTATACATTATATATATATGCGACTATGTTATATATGACTATATTATGACTAAATGAGTATAAAAATTAGATCATGTCATCACTAAACAGTAGAAAAGTAAATACATTTAGCTACTTCAAGTTCTTTCAATAGTTATTTATTTGTGCATACATTCACTGAAATATTAAAATATTATATACTATATATATTCATATATCTTTATGAGTGAAAAATATTAACAATAACAGCATTTCATTTAGACCCGGAAGGAAGCTCCCCCACCTCCATCCCATGCTCCTAGGGCAGAGAAGCTGAGCCAGTCCCAGCACCAGGAAGGAAGCTCTCCAACTGCCATCCCAAGCTCCTAGGACAGAGAAGGTGAGCCACGTGGGTGCCAGAAGCACCCCCCCACCCCCGTGGGAATGAGAAGGCACATAAACAAGCCTCAAAAACAGACTTCCACATCACCTACAGCAACCCCAAAGGGAAACAAGATGGAACAATCTGATACTCAACCACCTGTACTCTACTCTCTGAAATGGCAACAAAAGAGGACCGGGGAAAAATGAAATCAGAAATAATTACTCAGATAACAGCAAAGATTTTTCTCATGATGCAAGACATGATTAATAAATCTAGAGAGGACACAGATAAAAAAATAGAGGATCTAAAAAAAAATAGAGGATCTGAGGAACGTGATGGAATCCCAACACAGGAAACAAATGGAATCCATAAAACAGATGCAAACAGATTTCCA